TGTCTCCCTCCAAATAGATATGTTGGAGCCCTAACCCCTAGTATGTCAGACTGTGACCTTATTTGGGGACAGAATGTCACCTTAATTAATGTGACCTTAATTGCAGAAGTAATCAAGGTAAAATGAGGTCATGAGGGTACACCCTAAGCCATCATGACTGGTTGCCTTATAAAAAAAAAAAAAGAGGGGGGAATTTGGACACAGCTGCACAGGGCAAGTGCCACGTGAGGACCAGAAGCATGAGTGCGCCCTAGGGAGCCACAGCAAGCCAGGAGAGAGGCCTGGCACAGATCCTTCCCGAGAGCTCCCTGAGGGAACACAGCCCAGCTGACACCTTGGTTCATGACTTCGGGTCTCCAGAACTGTGAGACAATACATCTCTCCTGTACAAAGCCAGAGAGTCTGCGGGACTTTAGCAACAGGAAACTAACACAGCTAGTTCTGCCAGGTCGGGGTAAAGCCACTTGAGAAGCAAGCCACGCAGGAGTTCCAAGAAGTCACTACCTCTTTCCTGCCGGCTGTGGGAAAAGGAGCATGTTGCCACCAGCCAATGGTGGTGACCACCCTGCAAACATGAGGGGAGGTGACACACGGATGGGGCCGATCCCAGAGTGTGGCTGAGCAGTGGGCCTGGACCCCTGACTCACTGCACCTGAGCCTGCACCTATCTTGCAGCTCCCCCTGCCCTTCGAGGCGGCAGATTCTTGCTGTTCACTTGAGCTGAGGTGGGAGCAGCACGCACAATAGCCCCAGTTTGCAGGGGGCTTAGGGAAGTGAAGTCTCCTACCCAGGAACCCACAATTATTAAGAATATGTGGCAGAGGTAGGATTTCAACAAAGGCTTCCAACCCCAAATTCAGTGCTCCTACCCACTGTGCAGTATGGGCTTCCACCTGAGAGCAGTGACATTTTGGCAGCCTGGGCTGCTCCTGGCAGTAGCAATCCCTGACCTTCTCTGTTTATGTCTGTGTCTACCTCCTCACCTCACCCCCTTCCTGTTTTAGTCCACTCCCAGCTTGTTCACATGATCTTGATTCTAACGCAAGTATGAAACTCTCTTTTTTAATCGTTGGACTTTCCTTCAGACACATACTGCCGGCCTTCTGGCCCTACTCACCTCGGGCTACTCTGGGTCACCAGTACTCCTGGACAAGCCCCTCTCTGTCCCTCCCTTCCCACTGGCAGAGCCACTTCTTTCACCTACACCAGGTTGGCTCTCTGCCAAGTGTACCCCAGAAAAAAGGAATAAGAAATGTCTTTTGCACCCATATTGCATCTGCTTTACAGCATAATTGTTCTTCTATGTTTGCTCCCACACGAGATTGTAGTCACCTTGAGAAGAGGACCTTGTCGTCTTTCAGTCTTTCAATTCTGACTTGGACTTCAGGCCATTGGAAGATCAAGGTGGTATCTCATTGCTTTGCCATATTGTACTTTTTCCACTCATTCAACAACTATTTGAGCACCTACTATGCGTGAGGCACTGTGTTAGACAGGATAACTAGGTTTCCTGTCCTCATGGAGCTCTGTGTAGAAGAGAACATAGACAAAAAAATAAAAGAGAGAGAGATGTGAACACCAGGCTTATTTAAGGAAAGAGAAATGGTTCCATATGTTTGGTGCATGGAGTTGTAAAAGATGAAATTGGAGACATGAGTAAAAATCAGGCCCTGGCTGCCTTATAAGCCATTAATTGCTAGACTGATTGCCTAGTTTGTAGTAAGTATTAAACCCCTTCATGTATTAAGTGTTATGCATGCATATAGAATACATATGTAGCATTTTGTTTCACCATCAGAAGGGGAATTAGCCGCCCAGAAGATGCTGGCAGTAGCTGAACCAGTTAACACAGACGCTGACTTAGAAGTCAGGGCTCCACCTCCCTCCCCACCCAGCCCTTTTCTTCCAGTCTGCTGGTGCTGCTGACCTGGGAGAGAAGAGAAGAATCTGACTCTGCAAACGCTGTTTCCTATGGACTTCGCTGGGCTTAGCCCTGGCCCTGCTGAGCTGCAGGGCACTGGGCTGAAGAGCCCCGTTGGAAGTGACTCCTTTGATGTTTTCAAAGGTCGAAGCACATCTCTTCCCTTTTGGAATGTCACTTGGCTCCAGGCAGAGGATGTTTTGGCTACAGGGAGAGCCAATTAAAACCAATTAGAACCTAACTAACCTCCCATGACACTGAAACTCCTTGCAGAATTCGCCAGCTTCTTGTAAAAATAGCATGCATCTGGGCCTACCTCCAGTGTGGAATGTTCCCCAGCTACAGAAGGCACAGGGGCTCAGGCATTGTCCCCTGTGCTGCGTGTTACAATCACCTGTGCAGATTTTTAATTGTAGCCGCCTAGACCCCATGCCCAGAGAATCCAACTTAGATGATCTAAATTGTGGGTCCAGGCATCAGTATTTTTTAAAATATCCCCAGTTTGAAAAATAGTGATGTATCTGAATTCACCTAAAGGCACTGCAGGGCTGCTCTGAAACACAAATTCTGCCTTTCCTTTCCCATTATACATACATTTTTCTGTATTAATTGGCATCTGCTTTTATTAACATCAGGACCTTATTTCATATATTTTGATTATTCACTATAGTTATCATTAACTCTTTCAGACATGTCCCTAACATATTTGTACTTCCATCTGATTTTATTCTTTCTTAACCAAATATATGTTAGATAGTCTGAACTAAGCAAGTGGACAACGTTAAATTTTTGTAAACTTTTTCTAAGATAGTTATGAAAACTATTTTCATTCAATAAACAGGACACTGAATCCATAGCATCTAGAAATAAATTGGCATCTTTGACAATTGTAGACTCATGCTGGATCTAAGTGTGTGCATTTTCCTGTATTTATCTACAAACATATCCATATTTCTCAAACACACACACACTCTCACTCACCTCCAATTGCACAAAGTCTTGCAAAAAGCAGATTCCAGTAGGAAGTAATCTTGAAGGAAAAAATGAATGAACACACACATGAAAAGATGCACAGAAGCTGAAACTACAAGATAAAGAACTTTTATTCACATATATGGATATATATAAATACAACCTTATTTCCAGTTGGCAGCTGATAATAACGGGACATCTGTTATAAATTTCAAATTTGTATTCAATCAATCTGTGTACATAACTGATATATGCGTATAGCAGGATATAATTTTTAATTTTCAAATGTTAGTATATTGATGCCTGTAATAATGATTAAAACAAAATTTCACTATATTCTCAGTATTAAGTGGGTATTTGCAATCTTAAAATATAGAGGGGATTCATTAGACCACATGAGGAGAAAGGAAAAGAAATAGTAACTTTCAGAATAAATCAGGTTTCAGGTCATGAGAATAATGCTGAATAGATCAGAGACAATTAAGTCCAATAATTTTCAAAGGTTTGGATTTTGTTTGTAACAGAACCCTTTCTTTTCACAGCACCTGGGCAGAAAACCGATGTTTGTATAACCAGAGCTCAGCTGCCCCGTTGGAGGTGAGGGGGGGCCCCCAAGCCCACAGTACCCCTTCCCTCTGCTCTGGAATAGCACAGCTTGGGAACCATTGAGCTAGAAAGAGAGTCTCAGTCCTGGTTTCACATTAAAATGACCAGGGGGACTTTTAACCACTTTGGTGCGGCGCTCACCGGCCAGGAAGCCTTGGCGACAGCCGGCACTCGCAGTCGCACGATAGCTTGTGCTGTGCATTGGCGACGCATCGACGCATCCGTTTTGCTCTTGTGTGATGAGGAAAGCTTGAAAGCACTGAAAGCTTGTTTTACTTTACAGGCAGCTTTACTTGTAATGTAAATCAGAATAGGGAACATATACATATATGTTTTCATTATTTTTAAATGTTCACAATTTTATTTTGATAAATGAAAAATAGAAAAGTCATATCACGGCTATCAGGTACAGTCGACACTCAGCTGTGTGCGTTCATCTGTGGCTGTTGACTATAGTCGGCTTTCGTATGGAAGTGGTTAAAAATCTCCAGACCCCTCCCCAGAGAACCCTACTGAGCTGGGCTGAGGTGGGGCCTAAGCACTGGTATTTTTTAAAGGCTCTCATGGTGACTCTACCATGTGGCAAAGGTTGAGATCCACTGGTCTAGCAGAACTCCTCTAGCGTGGGGACAAAACTGAAGCCCGGGGAGGCATGATGGCATGGCAAAGTAACACAGCTGGCCAGGGGTCACACCAAGGCTAGAGCTTGTGCTCCTGGATTCTAGTCCTGCCATGGTACTGTGCACCCAGCAGACCCCCAGAAAATGCTTTCCCTCTGGGTGGACTGACAGATGGTGCCTGGGAGCATCTCACGAACAGCAGGGGCTGGCGGGTTGTTTAGCAAGATCTCCCAGTAATAGGCACCTGACTGCACCCTCAAGGTGCCAGTCATAAGTAGCAGCAATTGATCACATAAAGTTCTGAACAGGAAGGAAGGCTACAGGATGAACAACGGCCAGCACACAGGACTTTAACAGGGTTGTCTCTTGGAAGAAACCCAAGGATGAGTGAGTGGCACAGCCAGTAATTTGAATAATAATAACAGCTAAGATTGATTGTTTCATTGAGCGTTTTATGCATATACTCTTGCTTAATCTTTACAACAAACCAATGAGATTGATAACCATTTGGATGAGGAAACTTAAAGTCTTAATTCTTAAAGAGATTTAATAATTTGCCCAAAGTCATAGAGCTTTAATATGGCTTTAATTGGCTGAGCTGGGAATTAAACCTGGGTAGGTTTGATGTGAGTGTCTGAGTCCTTAACCACAAGAGTATAAAACAGAAATATAAAACTACTCAATTGCTTTGATTTTAGGGGCCCTCAACTTGAACCCAAGGTCTTGGGAGGAAATCTCCATCTTTTCTTCATAAAACCTGAAGTCACTTTCACATACAGGAAGCCAGTACCCTAGCTAGAAAAATGCTTTGAGCTTCCTTGAAGAAAGTATTGCTATAAATGAGTCACATTAGCTCTCTTTGTTTTGTGTATTTATTTCTTTATTATTTGCCCTCATTATCTAGAAATCTATATTTTAACCCTAATTGTCTCCCTGCGGTAATGATTAAGGCATGACTCTGAGATTTGCATTGCAAACACCATGAGGTCTTCAACAGGAGCAGATGAATTCTGAACTTGGCATCTAACAGCATTTATTGCTTCATTTTCATGTCTTCCCAGCTTCATTTTGGGCCAAAGTTGTTAATATTTTTTTCAAGTTCTGAAAGGATGGGAGGAGATGGAATTCAGGATCATGGTTTCAAACCTGCATCATCTCTACCCAGTAGATCAAAATTGAACATTTATTGCAGAAACATCTTTGAATACCAAACCCATGGATCAGTGCCTTGTGTACATTTTACTAATGAATATTTATAGGACCACCTACAGGGTGTACAATTTCATACAAGCTACTCTATTTAGACAATAGTTATTTGGGAAAACCGAAAGGGACCTTAGAAAAAGGCATGCTGTAAGTAGGATGCATTTTTATTCCTCCCAAGGGGAGCTGAAAAGCCTTCAATGGATATTCTGTACTTTTTCAGTTTTGTTGTCTTAAAAGTTTTATTTATTTTAGAAATAGTTACAACCTAGCCAGGTAAATATATTGCCATAAATTCCATTTAACTTTTTCCCTCACTGGAATAGCCTCATAAAAGACAACAAAAACCTGCAGAAAATTCAATGAGGGAATAAGATTGTCAATACAGTATGTGTATTTGAAAATAAAATGGCACAATCAGGAATAAAGAAGAGTCTGCATTCGAGTTAATAAAAATCAATCTAGAAGAAAGAAAACTACATTTTGGTGTCTAAGTAATCTTATCTTTTAATAACAATAACACTTTCCATTTCATGGGGCTCTTTCTTTGGAGTCTCTAAGAGTTTGTCAACCAAGTGCTGGGATAGGGTTGATGGTGCTCCCAGAAGATAAGGGTCTGCCCCAAACCCTTCCTGTGACCTCTATCCTTAAGGAGACGAGACCTATGGGGTACCTCTCCTACACACAAGGTTCCCGTCACCATGCCTCAACTCACCAATCATTAATGTTGACAAGCAAGCATTGTTCCAACTATAAAACCAAGTATAATTAAGAGGAAATAAGAATTATGTAAAAAAGTGTGCGCATCAGATGCTATTTTGTTGCAAATAATAAAATGCATTTAATAAGTGGTAACTATGCCACATGAATAGATGACTCTAAATACCCAAAGGAAAAATAATAAATCTGACCTCCAGAGCCAGATAAAACTATTTTCTTTTTATTGAACTATCCTATTTTTACTTCTCTAAGAAGCCACTGGTTGCAAGACATGCCATCAATTTAATAACTTTCCAGGGGAAAAAGGAAAGTGCGACCACACTGACTGTCCATATCAATTATAAGAAACGTATTGGTTTTAGAAATGTTAAAAGATGGGGGAAATGTGTCTTACAAGCGAGAAAATATGGCAAATGTAAATGTATACTTAGCTAGCAAAGTACCTGGGATTCATTATCTAATTTCATTTTTACCACAATTTCATAAAGTGGCCATGAGTATTCCATTTTACAGATGGAAAAAGCCACATGTCTGAGATGCTAATTAACTTGCTCAGGATCACATAGCTAATAAACTAATACTCTTAACTCTTTGCTTCTTAATTCCACATTCTTTCAACCCCTCCATATTACCTTTCAATCTTAAAATAGTTGAGCCTTTTTATCTAAGATGTTTCACTGACCACTAAAGAAAGATACATTTTTTACAAGACTGTTACATCAGATCCTTTGTAACTTATCTTGAAATTCCTTCATGCTTAGCTAAGATTGTCTTCATGCCAACCTATAAATCAAGTTCTCCACCAATTGTGGGTAGTTGGGCTAATAGAGACACAGCTGTCCCAAAGAGAAGACACGGATCACTGGCTGGAAGCTCAGATGGACCCTGCAGCAGCTTTCTCACTGCTACTTGTTCATCATTTATTCTGGACAGAGGACACCTACTTTTGCAGATTAAAATTTTCAATTGGCTACATTAATTACCTTTGGTGTATTGTGAATTTTAACTTCTTTCTAAATCTTTGGCCTAATAAATGTGCATTGCCCTAAAGCTTTCGTAGACTGAGTAGGCAATCAACTGTCCCTAAGACACTGCTCACAAGTGTCTTCGTGAGCAGAATAGGGGTCGCACAAGTGGCTTTCTCTGTTAACTAGATTGCTAGAAATTGATTCAGTTGTGGGAGTTTGGCAATGCCTGCTTATGACTTCGAAGCCTCCTAGGAACTCAGTAAATCTAGAGTCAGGGAACTTTGCCTAATAGAGACACGCTCTGTGGTGGCAGCATCTAAACCCCTGGTGTGGGTGCCATGGGGGATGCCTGACACCCCACAGTGCCTTCTGGCCAGAATGGTGGCTGCAGAGTGTGTGAACAGAGGAGCAGGAACACACCTTCACCACCACAGTCAGAGCCACACCTAAAGGAGCAGACAGCCTTCAAGGGAGGAAAGGATGCCCTGCCTGCTCCTTCCCTCGGACTGCGGTAAGAGCACCCCAGCCTGCTTCACCGCCCTGCGTGCTGTACCGGAGACAAAAGCCAAGGGTGCTCGGCAGTCCATCCCCCACCTCCCTGCAGGTTAGTCATTTAAAAAGCACAGTGAGGTATTAATTCACATATGTTATAAAGGCTATTACCAAAGACAAAAGATAACAAGCGCTGGTGAAGACATGGAGAAAAGGATCCCTGTTACACCTCCGGTGGGGATGCAAATTAGCATAGCCATTTTGGAAAACAGAATGGAGGTTTCTCAAAAAGTTAAAAATAGAACTACCATATGATCCAGCCATCCCACTTCTGGGTATTTGCCCAGAGCAGATTAAATCAATATGTCAAAGGAATATTTGCACCCAGTGTTCATTATAGCACTATTCCCAATAGCCAAGACATGGAACCAACCTGAGTGTCCACCAAAGTGTGAATTGATAAAGACAATGTGGTACATATGCACAGTGAAATACTGTTCAGCCTTCAAAAAAAAGGAAATCCTGTCATTTGGAACAACATGGACTAACACAGAACACATCATGCTAAGTGAAATAAGCCAGGCACAGAAAGACAAACACCGCATATCTCACTTTTATGTGGGATCTAAAAAAGTCAAACTCATAGAAGTAGACAGTAGAATGGTGGTTACCAATGGCTGGGGGTGTGGGCAAAATAGAGAGAAGTTGATCAAAGGGCACAAACTTTCAGTTGCAAAATGAACAAGTTCTGGAGCTCTGAGGAACAGGGGGGCTGGGACGGATGTGTTGATTAATTTGATTGTGGTAATCATCACACCACATAGATGTATATCAAAGCATCATGTTGACGCTGGGGAAAAGAATCCCTTTTCAATAAATGGTGCTGGGAAAACTGGATAGCCACCTGTAGAAGGCTAAAACAGGACCCACACCTTTCACCTCTCACAAAAACCAACTCATGCTGGATAACAGACTTAAACCTAAGGTATGAAACTATTAGAACTCTAGAGGAAAAAGTTGGAAACACTCTCCTAGACATCGGCCTGGGCAAAGAGTTTATGAAGAAGTCCCCAAAGGCAATCACAGCAGCAACAATAATAAATAAATGGGACACGATCAAACTACAAAGCTTCTGCACAGCCAAAGAAATAGTCATGAAAGTAAACAGACAACCTACAGAATGGGAGAAAATTTTTGCATCCTATGCATCCGATAAGGGACTGATAACTAGAATATACTTAGAACTCATGAAAATCAGGAAGAAAAAATCAAATAACCCCATTAAAAAGTGGGCAAAGGACTTGAACAGAAACTTTTCTAAAGAAGACAGAAGAATGGCCAACAAACATATGAAAAAATGCTCAACATCTCTAATCATCAGGGAAATGCAAATCAAAACTACAATGAGATATCACTTAACCCCAGTGAGAATGGCCTTTATCAAAAAATCTCCAAACAATAAATGTTGGCGTGGTTGTGGAGAGAGAGGAACACTCCTACACTGCTGGTGGGACTGCAAACTAGTTCAACCTCTGTGGAAAGCAATATGGAGATACCTTAAAGCGATACAAGTGAATCTACCATTTGATCCAGCAATCCCATTGCTGGGCATCTACCCAAATGATCCACCCAAATGATCCAATGACATTCTACAAGAAAGACACCTGCACTCGAATGTTTATAGCAGCACAATTCATAATTGCAAGGCTGTGGAAACAGCCCAAGTGCCCATCAATCCAAGAATGGATTAATAAAATGTGGTATATGTATACCATGGAGTACTATTCAGCTCTAAGAAACAACGGTGATATAGCACACCTTATATTTTCCTGGTTAGAGCTGGAACCCATACTACTAAGTGAAGTATCCCAAGAATGGAAAAACAAGCACCAGATATATTCTCCAGCAAACTGGTATTAACTGAGTAGCACCTAAGTGGACACATAGGTACTACAGTAATAGGGTATTAGGCAGGTGGGAGGGGGGAGGGGGGCGGGTATGTACATACATAATTGTGCACCATCTGGGGGATGGTCATGATGGAGACTCAGACTTGTGGGGGGAGGGGGGAAATGGGCATTTATTGAAACCTTAAAATCTATACCCCCATAATATGCCGAAATAAAAAAAAAAGTTAAACCCCCCCCCCAAAAAAGCATCATGTTGTACATCTTGGATATAGTCAATCTTCATTTTTCAATTAAACACTGTTTAATTAATTTTTAAGTGCCCTAACTATAAACAAAATCCAAAGCAGTCAGTTACTTCAAGAGAAACCCCCTTTCCTGAAAGCCACACAGAGTGGGGCAGATACTTCCTCCGGGATGTGACCTTCAGCCCCGTCCAGAGGCCAAGGGATGCACAGAAGCTTACCTGAGCATTTCCAGTCACCTTAGGAGACTTGGATTTTACTCTTCCCTCTGTTATGAAAAGGAACAGATGCCCCCTAGGCAATTTTTCTCCAAAGGACCTCAAAAAGTAGCAGCTGCTACAGGCTTCAGCCATCCCTTCCAAGCACTTCTGAAGATGAGGGAATTTCCTTCCTTCCTTGGCTGCCCCTTCTGGAGTCTCCACCCCCAGAGCTGAGCTTGCCTGGTCTGCTCCAGCGCAGAGCCTGAGGACAGATCTGATATACATAAATCAACATATTACTCATTTCCTAGCACTGCCTTTGACAGCTGTTACATGAGCACATTGTTAGAAACTGTCAAGCAGTGA